CTTTGTTTAGCTTTTGTGGAAGGCGCCTTAATTAAGGCTTCATTTGGCCTGTTCAAGACCGTAATTCTTGCAGTTTGGTACCAATAAGTAGAAAAACGATTTTATCTAATAGTAAACTCTAAAGGAATCTAAAGAAATTCCTCCAAGCCATCTCCGTCTCTCAAAGGCGCCAAAATGGCGGACAGTGATAATGCGCCAAGGAGGCGGAGTTGGCGCCTTCGCTGTGCAAGTCACGCAGCTGGCGTTCTTCCAGTAGCTCGTGCTCGTCCTCGTCGCGCCATCGAGTTCCGCGTCTTTTATGTCCAGCAAAGCCGAGTCCTGTCTATCTTTACTAGCGATCAACTTGTTGAAGCAAGTGAGCGGCCAGTTGTTTTTGGACTTTCGAATTCTAGAATCATCTCGAAAAAACGGATAGTGGCTTCATTTAGTAGTTTTGCCCCAGTGTTATGCGGTGGGGAATAACCGCATGATCCTGCTTCGCCTTCAGCAGTTGATATTACTCGTGTTCGTTACATACACTATAGCTCTGGCGACTGTGTGGAGCAAGTAAGGCCCTTTTCTAGCTTATTCTATGGACTTCTTTGTTCGCTTCTCTAATTTCTTGCTTATAAGAGAAGATAGCATCAGCATCCACTAAGCAATCCATACAAGTTCTATTGAAGAGGTCCTTTTGTGGGATTTCTATAGCATCTTGTTTCAACAATCTTATAGTTTCCCTTCATTTACCAATTTCGCATTTGGTTTTTGGAACTTTTACCTTGTTCAAGTCACATTGTAAGCCTCGGCTTTCGCCTAATCAATTCAAAAACGATTGTTTACATAGACTGAGCAGGAGAATCTAGTCACGCACCCTTTCCAAGAAAAAGTCAGGTGAGATTCATGCTTAAGAGATCAGAAATGTGCTTTGTACTGAGTTCTGCGTCAACCTCTCTTGCTTTTACCATACTTCGAGTGTGGTTGTAAATGATATGTTCTGTCTTAAATACATTTTTCGTAGCTACTTTCTTGTGCTTCTTTTCTGACCAAAAAGCCTTGTAAAACTTCTCTTTTGGTATGCTATTTCTGTATTCTGGTTATTTTGATTATGCTTGGCTGTTGGAGAAACACTTACAGCCCACTCCTACTATCGAGAATTTATCAAAGCTCACTACCGCCACATCATATCACCCCAAATCTCATCTCCTTCAGAGTTTCGCGTGTTTTCAAAATTACTCGGAAATCGGAATCCAATCTGGATAGCGACGCTCTCGGTCTCTTATCAGACAACACCAAAACTAATCGTAACATCTTCAGAGCTATAGCATCTTCTGCACAAAACATGCTATCTGGCAGATCGAGTGAGTTTAATTTATTTTTTCACCTTTCTTTTCCCTTATATACGATTATTTATATCAGGCTATGACTACCATCTCGCCTTGGAAGATGACGTCAATGATATGAAAGAATTAGGTATGTCTCATTCACGCATCAGTCACTTTCTAAAGCAGTCGAGATGTTTGTCATGTTATCACTTTAAACAAGTTTTTGTTTCATCAAGAGTTCAAAAATTTCAAGAAATTTTGCATAGCTCAAGGGTACCGCTTTAGACAACTGATTTTCCAGAAAGTTCTGGTGTGATTTTGCGCTTGTCGGGATTGAGGCTATTTGATTATTATTTAAGTACCATCTTATTTTGATGTCCTTCCGTTTACCTCCGACGTTGTCATTACAAAAATTATCTTATCTGCGAACATATTCGCGCACTGAAAGATGGCCTATCTAAAGAAGTTTGAGTTACAATTATCCGAAGATTTGTAGATCAATTTGAGGATTTAGTCTTGCCAAAATAGTGCAAGACACCATCTGAGTTCAAGGATAGCTAGTATTTTGAAAGCGCTTCAGATATCCAGTTGGTGTCCCGTATTAGTTGAAATCTAGCGATCTAAGTTATAGGACGTGGTAGTCACAGATATAATATTGGCTGCTAGAGAAGCCATTGACCTTTTTGGATTACGTGATCGAGTCAATCTAAACCTTAATGAAAGAAATTCATTTCTCTCACTGTTTTACTTGAGTTACTTGTGCGCGCTCATGTTTGCCAAATTCCGCAGTCTACGTCACCTTTTTAGTTGAACACAACTATCCCTCAAGCATTCTTCGGAATAGATTTCTTGATGCGAAAAGGTAAACATCAAAGCTTCAAAATATCCTGAGAAATGACATAATGTTATCACCTTCAATGTTCATTAGAAAGAGTACCTTGCGCATCTTGCTCTATTTGTTATTCCGTGAACTAAAACTCTGCGACTAACTTTGGGATTATGTTGGAAGTAGACGCAGAATTAGCCTGGTTGTGGCGAAGAAACAATAGAAGGAACATAACACGTGTTTATTTTCATAATGGATTGCAGAAACTTGTTAATAGCTACTCTCCCTCCTGCTGAGATGTTTGTTCATTTTTGGAGGGGCTTTTGCATTTTTCTGAAAAAAAGGTACGATTATCTTCGTCCCACTTTTTGCTGAAAATCTAACAGCGCGTTGAATAATGAATTCTTTTAATCTGCAGTGTTCTTCGTCATCAAGTAAACTCATTGGCAAACATAAATAGTATATCTCACGGAACGTTCTATTTTGATGCAAATTCTATCTTACTTTTAAAACAGCTAGTTAATTCACCTGATGCTCGTCAATTTTTGCATAACTTTTCAAATATTGTTCTCCCTAATTAATCTTTCTTGGCTTCAGCTTTAATTTCTACGAAATGCTCCAACCTTTATGGTTGTACGTTAATACGCTGCCCATTTCTGTTGTAGTTCCAAATCTCATCCATTTTTTCACAAAGTATGTATTTGAGCGTTCAAAC